GGGCGTAAGTTTTTTGAATAAAGAGTTGAATCCATTGGATGTAGGATATGTAGATATGGAGGGATAATTTTATTTTGAAAGTTGAGTTTATTATACTTTCTAATGGATTATACATGGTTATGCAAAAGGAAAAAACTGCATTTATTTATTTATTTACTTCAGTACTAGGGATTCATCCCATAGGCACTCTACCACTGAGTTACATCCCCAGCCCTTTTCCTTTTTTGAGATAGGGTCTGGGTAAGGTGCTGAAGCTGGCCTTAAACTTGTGGTCTAGTTCTCTTGCCTCAGCATCCCAATTGAGTGGGATACAGGTGTGCACCACCACACCTGGAAAAACTGCATTTATTAAGGTGGGAAACACAGAGGGAGAAACAAGTTTAAGGGAAAAGTTTACAAAGTTTCAGATGGCCACTGCCATCAAGTAATTACAATATTAAGGCAAAATAACAGTTCTGATATTTTTATATTTAATATTTTTGCCTTAGTGAGTTGAAAGAATAATAAAAGCATACATCATACAGATAGAATATAATTCTGAATTATGATGAAATATATTCCTTATATTTCAAATACAAGATAAATATATTCTGGTATTAGGGTTCTCTAGAGGAATAGAACCAGCAGGATATGTATGATTATAAAAGGGGATTTATTAGATTGGTTTACATGATCAGAAGCTGGACAGTCCCACAATAGCCACCTGTATACCAGCAAGCTGACAGAACTAGTAGTGGCTCAGTTCTAGATGATTGTTTAGGAAATAATTATAAACAGGAGAGACTAATGATACAACCTCAGTCTGAGTATGAAGGTCTGAAAGCCTCTGGACAATCACTGGTCAGAGTACACGTTGGAAGAGTGAAGAAGCTGGACTCTGATGTACTTGATGGCCACAGCAAATAGGGTACCTGATCAAGGAAACTATAGCTCACACCCACAGGGCTTCCTCCTCCTTCTGTCTTTTGTTCCAAATGGGCCCCCAGCCATTTGAACAGTGCTGCCCATGTTCAGGGGAAAGGTCTGAGCTGTCCTTCTCCATTTGTGGTCCCACATCTGTAAACACCATCATAGAATCACTCAGAAGCCTCTTAATCCTTGGCAACTCTTAATCCAATCAAGTTGACAATGAAAGTTGATCATTGCACATTCATAGGTGAAATACTTTGGACCAAAATTGTGTTGGATTTCATTTTGGGGGGGGGTGGGTTTGGAATACTTGCATATGTACACTTGAGAGGTATCTTGGAGATGGGACCCCAGTCTAAGCACAAACTTTGTGTTCCGCATTTTTAAAAGATATTTTTTAGTTTTAAGTGGATGCAATATCTTTATTTTACATTTATGTGGTGCTGAGGATCGAACTCAGTGCCTCAAGCATGTTAGGTGAGCACTCTACCACTAGGCCACAACTCCAGCCCATTTTCCACATTTTTATTGGTGCATAATTATACATAACGGTGGGATTTGTTACATACTTGTACATGCACATGATATAACAATTTCACCAATATCATTCCCTCATTTTCCTCCTGCCTCCATTCTCCTAATCCCTTTCCTCTACTCTATTGCTCTCGCCTGACCCACCTTTCTTTTCCTTTTTCCTCTCTGCTTCCACATGTGAGAGAAAACATATGACCTTTGACTTCCTGAGTTTGGCTTATTTCACGTAACACAATGTTCTCAAGTTTCATTCATTTTCCTGCAAATGACATAATTTTATTCATCTTTATTACTGAAAAAACCTCCACTGTGTATATATAGCACATTTTCTTTATCCATTCATCCATTGACACGTAGGTTGGTTCCAGAGTTTGTGATTGTGAATTGTGCTGCTATAAATATGAGTATGTTTGTATCACTATAGTATGCTGACCTTTAATTCTTTAGGATAAATACTGATGAGTGATATACCTGGGTGATATACTGGTTCCATTTCTAGTCTTTTGAGGCATCTCCGTACTGACTTCTATAGTGGTTGTACTACTTTATAATCCCAGCAACAGTATAAAAGTATTCCTTTTTCTCCACAACCTCTCCAGTATTTATAATTATTTGTATTCTTGATTGCTGCCATTCTAACTGGAGGTCAAATCTCAGTAAACATGAAATTTATGTATCTCATTTATATACCATATATATATGTATATTCTTTTTCTTTGTTGTGGTGTATGTAGTTTTGGAAATTTAACCTAGGGTACTCTACCACTGCACTACGTACCCATCCCTTTCGTTTTGAGACAGGTCTCACTAAGTTGTCAAGGTTGGTCTTGAACTGTGATCCTCCTGCTTCAGCCTCTGGAGTTGCTGGTATTAAAGGAGTGTGCCACTGCATCTGGCCTTCATATACATCTTATACACATATTTTGTAGGCAATTTTATACAATATTTTTTAGCATGCCTACCTGCAATTTGTGTGCCTGAATTTTGACTGTGACTCATTATATGAGATCAGGTATGGAATTTTCCACTTTTGGTGTCATGTGGTACTCAAAAAATTTTGGATTTTGAAGCATATCTTATTTTGGATTAGGGATGCTCAAGCTGAACCTTGGAATAAAGGACCTACTGAAAAACTGTTCAAGATCTGAGATATTTGTAGTGCATTACTTTATGAATAACCTATTTCATTAGTATTTTCATACAGTAGTAGTTTTGAATAGTTCAAAAAGCTGCATGCTACTAGTTTTTCATTTTTTTCCGGTTGCCACTGCTTTGAATATAAATAAACTTCATACTTTTAAAAAAACTAGAATTCTTTAGACTATTAGTTTAAAATCTTGGACACGGTTAGTATTTAAACTTAATGATATTGGGGCTGGGGATGTGGCTCAAGCGGTAGCGCGCTAGCGTGGCATGCGTGCGGCCCAGGTTCGATCCTCAGCACCACATACAAAGATGTTGTGACCGCTGAAAACTAAAAAAAAAAAAAAAAAAATTAAAAAAAAACCTTAATGATATCAACAACTACCATTTAAGGAGCAAGGAAAGAACCTTGCTAAGAGTTTTTTATAGACAATAGAATTTCACAACAATGTACTTAGATTTTGGAGGAAAGCGTCTAGTAGAGACCACTGAAGTAAATGATAGCTAAGATGAAAAACAAATATTTTAAAGTGTTAAACAAGCTGGGTATCATGAGGCAAGCCTGTAATTACAGACTTGTGGGGTTAAGGAAGGAGGACTACAAATTCAAAGTCAGCCTGGGCATCTTAGCAAGACCCTATCTCGAAATAAAAAATGGTAGAGGGCCAAGAACCACAATAAACAAACCAACCACCTTAACAAAACTAACAATGGTAACAACATTGTCAGAGGTTGTGTAAAGAGCAGAGTGGGATCTGAGCCCCAGTTGTCTTACTAGTGGGTATGCTTCTCTCTCCCCCCTCTATTTCTCTTTCATTTCAGTGTCTTCAACTGAAAGTGTGGGGGACAAATAGCACCCATTCTGACTATCTCACATGGTTGTAGGGGAGAATAAAATGCATATAAAAGTGTTTTGTTAATGGCATATGTTAGGAATATGAAGGTGTGAATAATTTCTTCTTGGAGGATCCCCTCCCCCAAATTTTAAATTTTCACTTCATTTAAAAATAACTTCAGTAATTAATGGGGGTAATTGTTTAGTTTCCATACTATTGCCTTCCACCATACACACTGGATAACCAGTAATTATTTAATTTCAGGAATTAACTTGTGGATTTTTGCTAGTTCTATGAGCTGTATATCATTGGCTCTCAATCAAGTTACATTCAAAACATTTTTGTACTGGAACTACTTAGGGTGCAAATGGATTCTGTAATATATAAGATTTTCAAAAGACAATCACCTACTTCACATTTTGAAATAGAAGCAATCATATTCACTAGGGTATGTTATCTAGCCTTACCTCTCAGTCTCCTCTGTGGTTACTACCTTCCCCCACAGCCCAAATCCTCTTTCCCTGAGCACAATTACTTCCCCAATTGCTCTACACAATCTCTTTGGACTTTTCCGTCAGTTGTTTCCTTGCAACACTAACTTTTCCTTTATGTATTACTTAGATATCACCTTACAAAAGGCTTTATAGACCCCCTTGTGGACACCCTCACGTGCCCCTACAAGCCTGGCATTGCAGTCCTTGTAGTAACCTTATTACACTGTTTTTAAATAGTTTGTCTTCTTCAATAGACTGTTAATTCTGGAACGGTAGCGTCCATGTTTGCCTTTTTCATTGTTTTATCCCTCGTACCTAGTATTTTTTCAACAAATAAGTTCTTGACGGAATAATGAGAGTAGCTTGGCGTTTTAGACCGAAGATAATGCTCTCCAGCTAATAGGCTTGGTTTTCTGATATTCCACTGATTGAATACTCCTGTTGATACTTTTTCTCTTTTTTGGAGCTACCTAGGATTCCAAGTGGGAACCCATTTGTCTGAAAGATTGAGTTCTCAGTCTGTAGAACTACCGCCAACAATGTATGGAATCGAAGGACAGGAATTTAACGACTGATCCAGGAGCGACTGTTATGCCTTCTAGGCAGTGAGCAGGAAAGAGGACCATCAGGAGTCACCAAAATCACAGGAAAGGAATAAGACTAGCTCTTTCCTGCCCTCGCGGAGAACTCAGCACAAACTACCTCCTCCAGCGCGCCAAGCCGTTAGTCCCGCCCGGTCCAACTCGGCTCCACCCATCTGGCGCGCCCACCACCACTAAACCCTAGCCGCCAGGGTGCGCGACGCATTCCTAAGCCCCGCCTTCTGGGCGAGGGCGCGCTCCCCCTCCCAGCTCGGCCGTAAGCAGTTCCGTTAGCAGCGGGAGGAAAAACCGTCCTCTGCGTCCCCGCCTCTCCGCTCCTAACGCTTTACTCCCTACTCCCCCTGCGACCACTACACAGCCGGCTACGGAGGCCCCTAAAGTACAAACATCCCCCTTGCCCTGGCGTATACTGATAAGTTTTGTCCTTATTCCATTCGGTCCTAAGGTATTGTATTCATTTTTTGTCAAGAATCTAGACTCACGAGTTTCTTCTGGCGTCAGGAACTTAACCTCTTCACGGAAGTAAAAGTCGAACCCTCCAACCCCCTCAGCTGTGGCCGCCTGCATTCCTTCCCTCCCGCCTCAAGGAATTGTGGAGGGAGGGGGAGGAGAAAGTCATAGCGCCTGCGCGGGGAGGCCGCTTTTCATCCGGGTCCCTGTCCGTGCGGTGCAGCAGGTCGGTAGGCGGGAAATGGCGACTGGCTGAAGGAGCTGGTTCTGTTGCTGCTGTGGGCTAAGCGCGAAAGACACCCCACACTGCGCATTCGGGACCATCGCCGGAGCCTGAGGACACTTCTCTGTCGTCACAGTTAGGTAATCCCTTTCGTCCAGACGTTGCCGCTGCTCCCAACCTTAGTCCTCCTCTTCCAGGGCCGTCTGCCGGGATCTCCTCCCCTTCTCAACCCGGTCCTTCAGTGGGTCCAGCGCATTGGTATGCATGCACTATTGGCGCTTCGTACGTCCGCTGTGTGGAGCCGCTTTTTCGTGGACTTTCCCCTGGGAACGGAAAAGAGCTCACTTCCCGCCAGCTTCAGCTCTTAGGCTGCGGCCTGTGTTGTGATTTCTGGGGTTAGATTTCACTTCGCTACCCACCCCCACCCCGATCTCACGTTCTTAGCCTCCAACCCTGTGGTTCCTCTGGGTAATTAAGTTAGAAGATCACCATTTCTAACCCTCCTGACCCACCCTGTGTTTTCGGTATTTAATTCTGTTTTAGTAGGGTCCTTTTAGGGGGGCGTTGCTCTACCTCACTTCTTATAAACACCTTTTGAGAATCTGGAAGAAGGGATTTCACTAAGTTCTGTTTATCTTGTGTACTGTTAAAATGTTGACATTCTTTTTCAAATCAAGAGTGGTAATAAAGAACTGCTCTTGTGCGGGGTATCTGGTTTCCATAGTGGTCAGTTACGGGCGAATCTTATACTTAATATTCTCTGTTTTCTTTGGGTATCAAATACCTTTGTGAATGTTTACTGTTGCATCTTGAACAGAATTCTGTGGTAAATAATTGCATAGGTAAATCGTGTTTATTTACTTCTCACCCTAGTGGTAGCTGAATGTGTGAATGATGTTAAGCACTTTAGAGTACCTTAGGGAAGCCTAAAGAGATACTGCTCGTAAACTTCCCTAAGATCCTGAAATGAAATGTTCTTAGTAGATGTTCCTCCAAGGCAGGGATTTATCTTTATAATGCTAGTAAAGCAATACTAAGATTATTGCTCTACGTGGATATACAAATTAGTGACTTGAAATGATAGATTTATCTGCATAATTTTCAGATTGTAGATTGCTTAATGTTCCAACTCACCATTCTTTGCCAAGTTTTACATTTTTATTTGTAAGTCCAGCTGTTTTTTTTTTTAAACAAAAGCAGGAAAATGGCAAATTAATGCTAGTTTTATACTCATTCTTTCTTTTTAAATTTTTTTTTTTTTTTACCACGAATCAAACTAAGATTAAAAATAGTTCATATTTTATGTTAGTTGATTTACAACTCAAAAAGCTTTCAGTTCTGGAGGTTCCACTTACAGAACTTCACTACAGTTAGCATGCTATTAGGATTGAATGTCAGTAATTAGTAGAAATATGCAAACATCATTGTAGCCTTCTTTTGGTAGACTTTGCCCAAGGTCATAAAGAAAGTCAAGTCTTTTACTACAGTGAGTGGAACCTCTTAACTTTTCTAGGACCAATTGAAAAGAGGATGGAAGTGGAGAAGTGGGCTTGTTGGATACTTGTCAAATCGTTTTGTTTAAAAAATGGAGCCAAATGTGTGACTTAACAGGATCTTAAATAAGGAGTCTAGTGTTGGCTTTTTTTGTATTTTAGTGATCTTTTGGGGTAAGTTTTTGATAAAATTTGTTTTACAGGTAACAGTGAGCATTGCAGGCTATGCCTTCAAGAATTTTTCTAAACTGTTGAGTACTACATTCATTCAGTACTTATGCCTTTTTTTTGTGGTACCCAGAATCAGACTTGGCCTCTTGCATGCTAGGCAAGTGTTCTGCCTCTGACCTACACTCCCCAGCCCTTTTAAAAATTTTATTTTGAGACAGTCACCCTAAATTGTCCAGGCTGCTCTTGAACTTGTGATTCTCCTGCCTCAGCTTCCCAAGTGGCTGGAATCATAGGCATGCATACTTATGTGCTCTTTCAATACTTTTTTTTCAGCATGGATTGAAAGGATGTAAAAGTTAAGTGGTATAGTCCTTAACCTTGTGGACTTGTGGTTATGTACAAATTCTAAGTAGCATTGGTATATTTTACAATATTTCATTCTACTCAATGTTTCTTGGGTGTTTTATTTCAGCTAGTAATATTATTTTAAGAAATTAAGGCTGGGTGGGATGGAGTATGTCTGTAATTCCAGCAATTTGGGAGTCTGAGGCATGAGGATCACAGGTTGGAGACCAGCCTTAACAACTTAGCAAAGCCCTAAGCAGTCTCAAAATAAAAACGGGGTGGGGATGTGGCTCAATGATAGAGCACCGCTGGATTCAATTCCCAGTACTAAAAAAAGAAATAATTAATAATTGGTGAAGTTTTATCTTTTCCCATTTGATCTAGCTGATTCCAAGTTTGTGATTTTGGTCAAGTGACTTCTTCATGAGATCATTGACATATAATCGTTCTAATTCTTGTTAAAGAAACTTGGACCTAGCTGGTCATGATGGTGCACACCTGTATTCCCAGTGATGTGGGAGGCTAGGCAGGAGGATCATACATAAGTTTAGGGTCAGGTTCAGCAATTTAACGAGGCCCTAAATAATTTTGCAAGATTGTCTCTAAAAAATTAAAAAATAAAAATAAAAAGGGCTGGAGTGTGGCTCAGTAGTAAAGTGCCTCTTGATTCAATCCCTAGCACCAAGAAGGAAAAAAAGAAAGAAACTTGGACCTGTTATTTAAAAAAAAGATATACTAGACTCAAGACTAAAAAATACAGAATTAATTGCTGGATGAATAAAGTCGTATTGAATTATCTTAGTCGTAGGAGACTGTTTTGGATTAATGTGGTAAAAAATAAAGTGATTTGGGCTGAATTGTGGCTCAGTGGTAGAACACTTGCCTAGCATGTGTGAAGCACTGGGTTCGATCTCAGCACAGTATATAAATAAATAAAATAATAAAGTCCATTGACAACTAAGAAAACACTAAAAATAAAAAATAAAGTGATTTGCCAGAATTTGAAAAAAGCAGTATCTAATTCTGTAGGTATGTTTCTTTGAAAGCATAAAATGGTAAAGACTCCTTAAGTCATGTATATCAAATATGCTGAGAGAACCTCCTATATGGTGTGCCTTTGTGTAATTTGTATGAGTAGTTTAAAAAGTTACCTAGGGCTGGAGTTGATGTAGCTCAGTGGTAGAACACTTGCCTAGCATGTGTGAGGCACTGGCTTCTTTCTCAGCACTGCATATGAATAAATAACAATGGAATCCCATCAACAATGAAAAAAACATTAAAAGAAAAAAGTTACCTAACCATTTTAAACAGGATTGGCTCTGGAGGATCATTTGCTCTACTTTGAGGATGAGGGTATTTAACAGATATGACACCTATTTTAAAACTAGACAATTGCAATTTTAGTTTTCACTTAAAAGACACTTGCCCTGGGGCATATTTCTAGCCAGGATATAAATTTGCTAATGACTATATGACTACATTAACTTTTAATTTAAACTCAACTAAATTGTAATTGGAACTACATTACAAATAAGTAGACTAGCTGGTTGAGGTGTGGTATAACTTGTGAATTGCAAGTGCCCAGTTTATTTTGTGTCTAGTGTCTAATGGAATTCTTTTGAAAATGCACTGTTTAAAATTACAAATTCAGGGGTTGGGGTTGTGGCTCAGTGGTAGAGCGTTTGCCTGGCATGTGTGAGGCGTTGGGTTCGATTCTCAGCACCCCATAAATAAAGGCTCATCAACAACTAATATACATTGATTTTTTTTTTTTTTTTTTGTACTGGGGATTAAACCCAGGGGCATTTTACCACTGAGCTACATCCCAGCCCTTTTTAATTTTGAAACAGGGTTTCCCCAATGTGCTTAGGGCCTTGCTAAGTTGCTGTAGCTGATCCTGAACTTATGATCCTCCTGCCTCAGTCTCCCTAGGCACTGGGATTACAGACATGTGCTACTGTCCAGCACTTACCATATTAAACTTGATGTCAGACAGTTGAGGGTTCAGAGACAACAAAACATAGGAAAGTTAAGTTAATATACTGGCTGTTACTAGGAGAGTTGTGCAATGTAGGAGTGTTTTCTAGAAAAGACAGACATAATGGGGGTAGAATCATAGTGAGTAGCTTGGGCCTCTTGGAGTCTTTGGCAATTTTGTAAATCTGGCAGTAAGGAATGGTGAGACTTAGTGTGGCCCTTATGTGAATCACAAGACATTACAAAAAATGTAATTTTTTTTTTTTTTTTTGTACTGGGGGTTGAACCCAGACGTGCTTAACCGCTGAGCCACATCCCCAGTTCTTTTTTATTTTTAATTTTGAGACAGAATCTCACTAAGTTGTTAGGGCCTTGTTAAATTGCAGAGGCTGGTCTTGAACTTGGGATCTTCCTGCCTCAGCCTCCTGAGCTGCTGGAATTATAGGCATGCACCACCACCCTGTCACAAACATAGAATTTTTTTTTAAATTTTTTTTTTTGTTGCACATGGACACAACGCCTTTATTTTGTTTATTTATTTTTATGTGGTGCTGAGGTTTGAACCCAGTGCCTCACACATGCTAGGCAAGCGCTCTACCACTGATCCATAACCCCAGCCCACAAACATAGAATTTTAACATCAGTTCACAATGGACCATTTGACTCTGTTAGGGGCTTCATATGTAAAGGAATTATGTTTTTATATATTGAATAAAAGGAATTATGTCTAGAGTTCTAGCAGTCAGGCTTTCATGTTAGTTGTCCAAACACAAGGAAATGTGTTTATTGCTGTTGGTTAAAGAAATATAAAACAATATACTAGTAAAAAGGCATTTGAATACTTCAGAAATAATTGGGATTAAAGTTTATTAATAGCAGTTTGTATAGTTCAGGAAACTTTCTTCTAGGATGAAAACTTAATGGAGAAATTAGGAAACAAAAAAAGCAATGAAGTTGTTTAAAATAAATCTTAAGACCCTGTTAGTGGGGCTGTGGTTGTAAGTGGTAAAGTGCTTGCCTAGTATGTGTGAGGCACTGGGTTCAATCCTCAGCATCACATTCAAAAAGTAAATAAAGATATAAAAAATACAATAACATTATTAAAAAAAAAAAGACCCTGTTAGCAGCATAACCTGATATTTTATAAGTTTCTC